GGATCACATCTAAGGACTTGCTTGCAGGAACAGGCTGTACAGGCACAGACAATAGCCTCTAAAGCGCCCATCAGGGCTCAGAAAGTGCCCTCCCACCCCAGCCAGAAGGAATATGTAAAAAAATGACCCACACGATTCCCCACCTGCCAATTTTGTTTTGAAGTTAAGGCAGAGACAACTGAAATCTGAAGCCATGTACTCACCTAATAAAGCTAGCTTGCTTTTCTGGAGCCTTACACAACATGGTGGTGAGGAGCCTTTCCTACACAGGAAGGCACACAACTACTTCATGGGCCACTGAATTGGCCTAATTTCTGGTTTTGTCTTTAGCCTCCTTCATGGCTTGGATTGATCACTCCCCTTTGTCATTCTTTTTTCTTTTATAATACAACCTCTCCATCTCCTGTTTACACATCCTAGACCAATTTGAGCTCTTCTAATATACCAAGCCAGCCCTAAACCTTACAATTGGTATCTGAAGAACAATTTTGCTGTCAGCAATTCAGTCAATATGCCAGAACGGTATGTTGAAGTTGCTATCAAATTACTTATAACAAGTACTGCATTTCAGGTGCTGTTCTTTAAACAATACTACTAAAAAAAAAAAAGGCAGAAAGGAAGTTTCAAGTGGTATCTTTATGCCTAAGTTTATATCCAAAAATGGAAGTTTACTTTATGCAAGATGTAGGAGGTGAAGGGAAGAAAAACATGAAAACAAAAGCCAAGCATCATCCATTTGAAACCACCTGGTTTGGATGAAGGCTTTGGATGAGTAGTAAACAGAGGTCCTGGAGCAGGAAGGCAGAATATAGCCCAAACTTGAGGTCTTCGGGAGAAGCAGCCTATCCGACCGCACGCGGCAATTCCAGGCTATTCCACTTCCCACGCCAGGGCTCATCCAAATGCTCAAAGAGGTATCCCAAGAAAGGTAACAGATAGTGAGATATAAGCAGAACTCTGTCTTCTCTCCCTATTGCGAAAGGTGACTAGTTAACCAGAGTTTTCTTTAAATACAGCTGACTCTACTAGAGCATAGCCAAAGCTTTACAGATGTCTGATTTTTCACGACCATTTCCCGCTTGCAAACACAGGAAACTTGCCAAATTAAGTTATGAAATTTAGCCTGATTTAACCATGCACAAAGTGGGCTCATTTGCAATTAGGATTAACTAGGATAAAGTCAACTACAAAACTCCACAGCTATAACCACAGAGCTGCCATCTCAGAATCTAAACATCAAGTTTTAGCAAACCACTGTAGCCCCAGTAAGAGACGGCTCAGAATGTGTTTCCATTTGACTCTGGTAGCATCTGAAAGCCCAAAGCCCAAGTTTTAAGCATCTACATCCTATACAAGACCTAAACCTTAAATAAGGCATATCAAGAAAATCAGACAGAAAATACTAGTGACCTTTCAGTAAATATTAGCGAATTTACGTTGCCACCAGCGGTACTTCCTCGGGGTGAGAGGGATGATGTCATGGCTGCACACTACAGCATTGTTGGGCAAGTCTGGCTATACGCTGCTAACGGGACACTCCCTGCAGAACTGTGACCGCACGTTCGGTTTTCCTGGTATCAGCAATCAGCTTAATAAATGTTCAGAGACCTGCAATTAGCATACAAACACAGTATAACCAGCAAGCAAAAGGGAAGGAAAAAAAACAGGGAAAAAAAGAGAGAGGAGACAGCTGTAACAGGGCAGCAAACAAAGCTCCAAAGCATGAAAGAGAGAAAGGAATGCGGTTAAAAAATCTCCCCTAAGGAAGAATACTCTGCACTCCCGAGCTCCAGCTGTTTGACTTGCCCCACTCCCTCCTCCACTCCATTATCCACTCTGGCTGTGCTAATTTAACACAAACCGCCAGCCTGCGTCAACTGTTGAACAAGAGATACGGGTAAAGCAGCCTTTGATGCATCTGGGCTCCCGACGCAGAAAAAAACTTCGGGGCGGAAAGTTCAGGTGCCTTTGCCGGGGCTCTTTTGTGTTGGTGGCTTGAGCAGCTCCGAGAGGAGGCACGAGAGTCCTCCCCGCTGCAGCCTCCACCTCCGGCTTTGCAACCGCCTCCGTGCGCACCTCCAACACAGCCCTGGGATTTGCATGCAAAAGGATCTGCCTTCTATCAACAAAGCCTCCCAACTCCGAGCGAGAGGACCCAGCTCCCCCTGAATTCACAGCAGGCCCTCCGGCGCACGACACAAGCAGCTCTAAAGCGTCAGGAGGAAGGGGAAAAAGGAGGGAAAAGAAAAAACGCGGCCAATGCTAAAGTCTGGAGGCCTGCATTTACGCTGGGAAGGTATTTCCACGTTAAAGATACTCCGGGAGCACGGCGAGGGTTTGAAAGTCACATATGCAGCCAAAATGGCGCTGAGAATAAAAATATAATTTAAAGGAAGGTCGCCATATTGTAAACAGTGAGGCAGGGAGACACAGAGACAGCAACCTCCATTATTCCCAGCAGCTGCAGCAGCACGGAAGCGCCGGGAACGTCAGGCCTGGCGCCGAGACGCAACCGCCGCTTCCCCCCCAGCCGCGACCCTGCGGAGGCCCCCCCAGGCGCCGCTCCCTTCGGAAAGGGCGAGGAGGGGAAGTTAAGGGCTCCGAAGGGGTGGAAGGGCCGGCGCGGGCAGCGTCGCAGCCGCCGGCCTCGCGTCTCCTCCAGGCCCCTCGGCCGCCGCTCGGCACAAAAAGGAGGATCCTGGCGAGGCTTGGCGGGTGGGGGTCGCAGCGCCCAGCCCCCCCCCGCAGCAACCAGGGGTGCGACTTTGCACCTCGGCGGCTCCAGATTGACCACCGCGCTGCAGGGACACGGCCCGCCGGGGCTTGCGCCTCCTTTTTGTCCCTGCCCGCCGCGCCCGGCCCTGGCTTTTCCCCTCCCCGTGCAAAGCGGGGAGCTAACGGGGAAGCGGGAGCCGCCGGAGGCCGCGGCGCAGGCCGGGGCCTTGGCCGGGAGCCGCGGGGCGCCGCCGCCGGAGCCTTACCAGCACTGGAGGTGGAACGCAGCGGGGCAGTGGTCGCAGCAGAGCAGATCCCCTCCTTCCTTGCAGCTATCGCAGCTGTCGTGGTTAGTGGCCCTGCCACTTCGCCTGGGCTCCTTCTCGGGCCTCCTGCTCTTCTTCTCCCCGTCTTCGCTCTTGGGGGGAGCCAGCAGGGCCTGGATTTGCTGCGCACACACAGGGGGGGCTCTGAGGGGGCCGGCGGGGACCCCGACCCCCCCCAGCGCCCGGCTGCGAGGCGCGGGCCCGCCCCGCCGCCGGCCTCCGCGTCCAGCGGGGCCGCTGCCGGGGGCTGGGCGAGCCGCCCGCTTCCCTCCGCGCTTCCTTCTATGGCCACGGGGCTCCGGGCCCCTCGCGGGGGGCGCCGGGCCCCTCGCCATCTTGCAGCGCCGCGACGGGTCTCTCGTGTCCCCCCCGCCGCGCCGTGCCCTGCTCCCGCCGCCGGGCCTCACCTCCATGAGCCCCCCGGAGGTGTCCAGGTCGTAGACGATCGTCTTGGTCTCCATCTTCTCCCACATTCATCCAGCCCGGGAGCGGCCCCGAGAGCCCCCCCGCCCTTCCCGGGGAAGCGGGAGCGAGGCGGCGCGGGCGGCCTAGCCCACGGGCCGCCGCGCCTGGCGCGTCCTCCTCCTCCTGCCGGGCCCGGCGGCGGCTGCGGGGGGCCCCGCGCCCGCTGCCATGCCGCGCACGGGCGGGGAAGGGGACGGCAATGGGGGGGGGAGGAGCGGCCCCGCTCCCGCCGCCGCCGCCGCCGCGCGCACACGCACCGCGCACCACACGCAGGCGGCGCCGCCGACGC